TTAAAAATAAATACGAATAGGAAGTATATAAGTATATAAAAAATCTCCTGAATATAAACCCACTACATGTATGTTTAAATATAAAAGTACTGCATATAAATACTGCAAAACACGTAATTATTAAAGTATTACAGTGCGTCGAATAATTTGATCTGATTATTTCTGTATACTAATACAATACCTGATGTAATAAATATTCTATACTTATATAATATATCGTCTAATTTGACCAGTTGATGCACGAACGTAAACAAGTGCAAACCGGTTGCAGTCGCGTGAAAAGAATAATGTTGTAAAGTATCACCTGTTAACTTAGAATTTCCATAGAGTGCGTCGAATAATATGGTTAGTGACTGTATAGAATCTAAGATTATAGACTCTAATATTTCAGTTTCTGTTCAAAAAATGTGCACAAAGAGGTCGCAAATCAATATTTTAATTTTTAAAAAGCGAGAAGGCTAAAGGAATCTGACAAATTACTGTAGTGAAGGTAAATATCAAAAACAGTTGGTATAATTTCAGACAGTAATGTGAAGGTGCTTGAAAAATCGTTCTTCGAACCCACTTTTTTTCTCCCGCTATCAAACCTCTCTTGCTGTACATTACACTCGCTTCCTGCATCGTAATTCGTCAGATGTTCATAGGAATTCTAAGAATGCATATTAAGGGCAGTCCATACGAAACATTCTGAATGACAAATAATAAATTTAATGTGGTTTACACCTATTTCGAAGCGAAGGTTTAGAACATTTAGTGACTATCCCATAATATTTGTATCATTTACAATAAAAATTACCCAATTTATCGTTGCTTAAAATTTAAAGGATTATCAGTGATTGAAAAATTTTCTTAGGTGAATAACTTATACATTTCCTGTCTTTCTTCAGGTGATAGTGTCAGGGCCCGACTTAGCCTTATCGTTGCCCAGGGCAGTTGCCCCAGGCCCCACATCAGAGAGGACCCCCAAATAGAATAGAAAGTTTTTTTTACGTTTCCTTCTTGTCATATATTGTAAATCACCAATAGTCTGCTATAATTATTAATCCATCAATCAATATATTTTACTTACTTCTACTTCAATTTGCAGATAATATATTGCAACATGTAAACATTTACTTCAATTTTTATCTTTGAATAAGTACTGTTAACTTCAATCTTCAGTATGGATGGTGTTTTCATTAGAAATGTACCCAGAACCTGATCGCGTTGGAGAAAAATTAATCATTTCAAATGAAATTACAATCAAACCCCGTTATAGTGAACTTGGTTTATAGTAGACTCCCGGATATAGCGAATGAAATGTTCGTTCCCGTGCCTTGCTATACACATATAATATTAATTTTTGTGGATATAGTGAACCGAAAGCAGAGAGGAAATAGGATATTATGAACTTTTTTCTGTCTTCGACTGATTTTTCTCTTCATTTTTTTGGAATTTTAAAATTTCTTCATAAAATACATATACCGATTTTTAAAACCATCTATTGAGGGGAATGTAGCCATAAGCATTTTTTCTTGTTTGCTTTTTCTATCTCAGTTTTCAATCCCTAAATAAAGGCCGTCCCTACATTTTTTGTACGCAAGACGAAGACTAATAAAAATTAAAAGTTAACACATTTTTTGTTACTACATATTGTTTTTAAATCATTTTTGTATTTCCTTTTATGGGTGATTTATTTAAATAACGTGTCATAAAAAGGAGCAGTTCGGAAAAATTAGTTATAATTGTTTGCAGTACGGATATAGTAAACTACCGGTTATAGTGAACCGAAATTTCGATCCCTTGAAGGTTCACTAACTATAGCGGGGTTTAACTGTATTATCGTCGGGTATTAAAATATTGAAAATTACTTACATAGTTTATTTCAGCAGTCTCTTGCCTTTCACTGTCATCATCATCATCATAATCATCAATTCTAATAAATTTTTTCATCAAAGTGGTGCATTGTTTTCTATTCACGCTTCCTTTTTTATTATCATGATCATCAAATTGGATTCTGAATCTTCTCACCGTACCATCCTACAAACAGATAGTTCATTTGTACTAATTGTCATCATTTAGAAAATTAAATTAAAATTACTAATTAGAATAAAGATTTAAAAAAAATCAACAAAAAAGTTGTGATCGTCTTATTACGTCCACTGGTTGGTCAAATGTTTTTTCTTTCTGGATTGACTGCGTTAAACTCCACAACATTTCAAATCATGGGTTGCAAAAACTGTCTCAATGGATGTTTGTCGTCGGATTGATTTTCATATCCTGTCTATGTACGTGCTTCAATACTTTTCCTTCTTCAGCATTCATATTTATATTGAAATCACCGACAAGCCAATCATTATACGTTAATAATAAAAAGAACACAAAAATACTTTAAATTATTATTATGTAAATACATGAAAAAGACCTGCTGGTGAAAAGAAAAAGAAAAGCAGCAGCTGTCGCCATAACAACTCATTCAATGACGACGCATGCGCACTGTTCACAATTACCCTTGAACACAGTTGAAAAATGTGTGGACGCCATGGAATCCAAACAAAGACCCATTTTGCCAATGGGCAAAAAAATCCTTATTAAATTTCATTAATCTCGCAATTGTTTTTAAAACATATTTTCACGGGAGATTTTCTGATCAAGACCTGACAGCTGTTGAGAGTAAGGCCCCGGATACGCAGATAAAGTGGCGACATGTCACCATCTTGGTGAACACGACTCTCAGTGTAAAAATATGGAGTTTCTATTCTTACAAGCCACTTTATATTGATCAATATCTTCGTATTCCTGAAGATAATCTATAGATTTACTATTTGTACTTTTAATTCCTTTTTTTCCATCTGAAATTATATGTTTTATTTATATACTATTCAGTTAAAATAATACCTTATCCATAATTTAAAACTTTCTCATTTCTTCTTTCATAATCTGCTATATACGTATATATTTTTTTCTAAACTCTTTGAAATTTTTTACAGTCTTTTTTTTTAAGAGGCTCAAGGGGTGGTATGATTTATAATCATTACGGGCATTATTATCAATGTTCTAAGATTGCTTAACCTGAGAAAGCACTTTTTTGTGTCTGATGATTTTGTAACTTAAAGTATATAGTCTGCACTAATTAACATATTTGAGGTCACCCCCCCCCCTCGAACCATTAACATTGAGACCTAGAACACGAAAATTTGATCATTAGATCAAAAGTTGTTCAGGGTGATCCGTTTTTTGCGCCATGTACACAAAGAATGAAGTCTGATAAATATTTTCTCATTTGTTTAGCGGAAGCTACTGTTTCAAAGTAAACTATGAACAATTCAGTTTTGTGCAATATTTTAAAGATAACATCAATGATGTTGGCTAGCTTATAGCTCTAATCAGTTTATTGTAATACTTAATTACTTTTTATTCGTTATGCTAGATTATTAGATTAATTAACGTGATTGTTGTAGCAAGGGCGGAACACGTTACAAATTATTATTTCCAAGGTTATCCACATGTTTATTCGGTTTATAGTTATGCCTTCTAAACGCATTACTACTGTTAAACTAAATAATTTAGAATCATCGGTAAATGAAATGAAAAATAAATATTGTAATCAAAATTCATTCAATTGAGAATCAAAATTCATGAAAGAAATTGTATTTATTCGCTGAGGATAAACGCTAATGAATGCCAATATTATTATTGATGCGAATGATAATTAATTTTGATAATATTTACTAATTGGAGTAAAATAATAAGGTATGTACTAAAAGGCAAAATCAATGGCGAAATGGCACTCTTTCGTTTAAGAGCGAGTAAAAAATAGACAAACTAATATTGACATTAATGATGCGTAATTAAGGTGGGGATAGCCTGGTTAGTAGGGCACTGGGTCCATACCCAAGAAGACGTGGGTTCGATCCCTACTAACCGAAGACTCCCCGTGTAGTAAATGGCTAGTGGTACACATTAAATATGTCGAGTCACAAAGTCCTCCATGTTCCCAAAATAAATCATACCACTGATCCAAGAGTTTCCTGGTCTTCTGGATTGGTTCAAAATTACAAGGCTACGAAGTTCAGCATTAGCAGTCGTAAACACAAAATTGGGTCAGCTGTTCAACAACGGTTATCAAATATGAAATAAAAAAAATGATGCTTAATTAATTTTTCCTTTAAGCACTATAAGGCGGCCCTCCCGGAGCACCACCTTATGTTCTATGCACCTGTATTTATAGTTTGATTGGCCCTCAAAGAAAACTTCTGTTGCCATGTCACGTTCTTGTAATTTTTATTTGGATTTTAATAAATGCCACGGGTGGAGTTAGGTGATCTAGCGCTCGGCTAGGCACAGTCCACACAGGAACTGTCGCGACGACGGGACATCCTTCCGTGTGCCCGAGTGAGGGCAGGTCAGAATATTCAAAGCCTTAATCAATTTTTTTAATGCATATTAATTGAAATAAAAAAATAAGTTATATACTAAGCAGCACAATTAATGGAAAAAATGTGTTTCTCTGTTATGGACTACCGTAAAAAGTCGCCGTACTATTATTGACATCAATGATGCTTAATTTTGTTTGAAGGCACTCCTAGCGTTATTAAAATTTTAACGTGATTATAATATGTGACAAATATACTCTCATATAGGTACAAAGTATTTTATGAGTAAATTCGGTGACTGCATCAATATTGTACATTTTTATGATGGAGACTGAGGAAAGATATTCTTTTATGGTTCCTCGAATAAACGGGAAAAAGTTGCTTGATAGTGGTAAATTTTAAATATAAGTTGCCTAAACTAAAACGTTTTTATGCCAACTTGATCTCTTTCGATCATCTACCTTCTACCCCAACATCTATATATATATATATTTCTCTTACACGGCGATAAAAAAAAAGCCTCATTACAACTCCCCGAATGGCAACGCTTGAAAATCGACCAATCATTGAGGCTAAGAATGTCACATGGTGAGGTGGCTCAACATATAGAGCTTTTAAAAACGGAAACTGAAATAACCAGAGTGTAAAATGTTATGTGCTTATGCGCATCGTATTTTGTGTTAAATAATTTATTTATTATATATCAGTTTATAGATGGTAACGAGAAGAGTTTTGTGGTTGCTATGGTGACTATTTAGAATGTAATTTTTTTTCTTCTTTTTCTTTTGAGTGAGTGTGATATTTCTTTTTTGGAACTGTGATGCTGTAATTTTATTGTTTAGTTAATAAATCTTCCTTTTGTATTAAACGTGATAGTAGTTTCCTTAATTATTTGATTCGAAGTCCTTTGAGTTTTATTTGAGGTCAGTTTATTTTGTATTTTTTGACAAGAGAGAGCATTCTCACCAAACGAGATTTCTTCCGAAATTCAATGTTTTGTTTATGCAGGGTTTTTCCATTGCAATTTCTCTTATTTAAATTTTTAATAGACTTAATTATAGCCAAAATTTTAACCTTTTTAAAGAGATATCAGTTTTAGAAATTTTATCTTAAGATTTTATACTATAGCACATTTCT